GCTTTGCATTGATTGGAGAGTCTGTAGGTGATGCAGTGCTGGGAGACATTGTGCAATCCAAACATCTAGAATGGAGAGACCTCACTGACAATCCCAGGAAGGCATACCTTAGGAATAGGACTATTCTAGCCCTAGGTTAAGGAATGTTTGATAACTTGCCCTAATAAGCTTTGAGCCAAGCTTTGACAGATCAAGCCAAGCTGCCCATAAACTGTCTGCCAGAACAAAAGTTAGTACTCTTTTAAAAAGGCAATATGATCTAAACTCTCAAAAATATAGCATTCACAATGTCCAGCATTCAGTAAAAAATTACTATATATGCAAAGAAGCAGGAAAATTTAACCAGAAAAGAAAAGGAAAAAAAAAAAAAAAAAAGAGGCAATAGAACAGACCCAGAGATGACATGGATGTTGAACTTAGAAGAGAAAGATTTTTTAAAAAGACATGAGTGAGGAGATGGAGAATGTCAACAGAATGGAAACTATAGTGGAGAAATCGAATGAAAAATCTAGATCTATGGGGCCAGCCCGTGGCTCACTCGGGAGAATGTGGTGCTGATAACACCAAGGCCACGGGTTCGGATCCCATATAGGGATGGCCAGTTAGCTCACTGGGTGAGCATGGTGCTGACAACACCAAGTCAAGGGTTAAGATCCTCTTACTGGTCATCTTTAAAATAAAAAAAAAAAAATCTAGACCTAAAAAATACAATATGTGAAATTTAAATTTTACTGGATGAGTATAACAGCATATTAGAGTACAGAAGAAATGATCAGTGAACTTAAAGACAGATCAATAAAAATAAAAACAATCCAAATTTAAGCACATAGGGGGAAAAAAAGCCTTTAAAAAAAAAACGAACATAAAGAACCTAGTGACCCATGGGACAATACCAAGCAGTTTAACATATATATATATATATAATTTAAATCCCAGAAGGAAAGAAAAGTGATTGGGGCAAAATATATATATATTTAAGGAAATAATAACTGAAAAATTTCCAAATTTTATGAAAAACGTCAACCCGCAAACCAATAAAGCCCAAGCAGCATAAACAGAAAAAATACCTAGAGACATCAAAGTCAAATTACTAAAACCAAAAAAAAAAGGAAACCAACTTAAAAAGAGCCAGAGAAAAACAGACATAATACATACAAGGGAAGATGGATAAGAAATACTGTTGACTTATATGCAGAAACAATGCAAGCCAGACAACAATGGAATGGCATCTTTAAAGTGCTAAAACTGTGAGTTTAAAACTCTATATCCTGAAGGGAAAAAAAGCTCTTTAAAAATTAGGGTGTAGGGCCGGCCCGGTGGTGCACTGGAGAGTGCGCCGCTTGGGAGCGCGGCGGCGCTCCCGCAGAGGGTTCGGATCCCATGTGGAGACCAGTTCCCGCTCACTGGCTGAGCGCGGTGCGGGCGCAACACCGAGGGTTGCGATCCCGTTGCCGGTCAGTAAAAAAGACAAAAAAGGAAAAAAAAAATAGGGTGTAATAAAGCATTTTCAGGCCAACAAAATATGAGAAAATTAGCCACTAGCAGACTTGTAGTTAAAGAAATGTTAAGAAAACCCTTCAGGCTAAAAGGAAATGATGCCACATGGAATCTCAGATCCACACAATGAAATTAAAAGTACTAGAAACAGGACTGGCCAATTAGCTCAGTTGGTTAGAGCACAGCCTTATAATCTCAAGGTCATGGGTTCAGGTCCCCATACTGGCCAGCCACACACACACAAAAAGTATAAAAAGTACTGGAAACAGTATATATGCAAATAAATATAAAATACTTTTCCCTCACTTATTAATTTTCTTTAAAAGACAACTGATGGTTTTAAGTTAAAAATAATAATAATGTATGGTGGGAATCATGCATTTGTAGAAATAAAATGTATGACTGAAACACAAAGATGGGGGGTAAATGGCACCATATTGTAATTTTCTTACCTTACACATTAAGTGGTATAATATAAATTCAAGGTAGACATGTTATCCTTAAAGCAGCTGTTAGAAGAAAAATAAAACAAAGAGGTATAGCCTCAAAAAAATAAATTAAAAAAATGGAATACTAAGAAATAATCAAATAGTTCAAAAGAAGGGAGGAAAGGAGGATAAGATGAAACAAAAACCAAGTGGTACAAATATAAAATGAATAGCAAGACAGTTTAAGCCCAACAATGTCAATAATTATGTCAGATGTAAATAGACTAGCACTACAGTTAAAAAGCAAAGATTGCCAGTCTAGTTAAAAAAGCTAAACCTAGGGTTGGCCTGTGGCTCACTTGTGAGAGTGTGGTGCTGATAACACCAAGGCCATGGGTTTGGATCCCTATATAGGGATGGCCAGTTTGCTCACTTGGAGAGTGTGGTGCTGACAATACCAAGTTAAGGGTTAAGATCCCCTTACTGGTCATCTCTAAAAAAAAAAAAAGCCAAATCTATCTGTTGTCTACAAGAGAGTGTACTTTAAATACAAAGCACAGATAATTTATAAGTAAAATGATAGAAAAAGATATACCATACAAATACTAATATAAGAAAGCTGGAGTGATTATATTAATATCAGACAAAGTAAACTTCAAGACAATAAGTATTATCAGAGTCAAAGAGGAACATATCACAGTCATAAAACCGCCAATTCATCAGGAAGACGTAATAATCATAAATGTGCATGCACTTAATAAGAGCTTCAAATACGTGGAGCAAAACCAGACAGCACGAAAGGTAGGCACTGACAAATCTACAATTATAGCTGGAGATTTCAACACTCTTCTCTCATTAATTGGTAGACTGTGCAGAGTATGAATATTGAATACGTTGAACATGAATTACATCAGCAATGATGTAAAAGACTTAAACAACACTATCAGCAAACATGACATAATTGACATTCATAGGACACTCCACCCAACAAGAGTAGACTACACACTTTTTTCCAAATACACATAGATCATTCACCATATAACAGTTCTCAATAAATACAAATGGATTAAAATCATATAAAATATGTTCTCAAACTACAGTAAAGTTAGAATTTAATTACACTAAGATATCTGTAAAATTCCCTTAAATATTTGGAAATTAAACAATAAACTTCTAAATAACCATGGGTGAAATAAGAAATCACAAAGAAAATTTTTAAATATTTTTAACTAAATAATAATGAAAACATGACATATCAAAATTTGTGAGCCATATTATAGCTTTAAATGCTTGTGTTAGAAAAGATAAAAGGTTTAAAATATAAGATTTAAGCTTCCACCTTGAAAATCCAGGAAAAGAGCAAATTAAGCTCAAAGAAGAAGGAAGAATGTAATGAAGAGCAGAAAGCCAAGAAACAGAAATTAACACACAACAGAGAAAAATAAGAAGCTCAAAGATTAGTTCTTTGAAGAGATTAATAAAACTGATAAACTCTTAGCTAGATTACTCAAGAAAATGGAGAGAACACAAATGACCAACATCAGGAAAGAAAGGTGGGACATCACCACAGATCCTATAGACATTAAAAGGAAAATAAGGGAATATTCTGAACAATTTCATGTCAATAAATTTGACACTAGAGGAAATGGACAAATTATTTGAGAGACACAAATTATCAAAACTGAAACAAGAAATAGAAACTCTGAAAAGATGTATATCTGATTAAAAAAAATTGAATTCATAATTGGAAACCTCCTACATAGAAAAGTGTAGAAGCTGTTGGGTTCCAGGAAAGAGGCATTGTCATGTTTTGCTGAAGAAGTGCAGAAAGGAGTGCAGGCTCCATGCCTGGTGATTTAGCCAACCATTCCTGACCTTCAAGACAACCCTAGTTCACAGACGAGGACAGCAGAGGCTCAGAGAGATTCAGGATCTGCCAAAGGCACACAGGAAATGACAGAGCTCTGTCCACAATGCCCACGCCAGGGAGGGTGCAGAGCGTCTCCTGGAGCTTGATTCCCCCTTCTCCTTTTCTCTCACTGAGCCTTCAATGCAAAGATCAAAGGCCCCATGAGGAGAGAGAAGCTATGGAATCACCCAATTTCTCAACAGCTACACTTTGTAGGCTGTCCTCTTGTCCTCTGGATGTGGTTTTTGTTAACGCTTCCACAACATGAGCTTCTTGAGATAAGGGACTCTATTTTTATTAATTATAAAATAAATATAAATACAAAAATCTACACATATACACATATATGGTAACCATATAATTTATCCTCCAAACCAAAATACTGTGGAGAGTGAGAGATGGTAGCACCGATAATAACATCAGGCACAAACTGAGAAATCTAGGACAAATGGCTGGCCTGAGGAGGTGCGTGGCAGCGTTCTTGCTCTCCAGGAACTTGCTCTCCAGGAGCTTACTGTAACGTGATAACCACTACATCAGCAACCCCATGGAGGAACTCCACAGCTCACACTGTGCTCCACAGTCATCGGCTGCCTTGGGCCTCCCAACTACCCAGGGAAGCAGGTGGACGTGATCACTCTTCCTGTTTCACCAGTGACAGAAACAAGACCAGGCGGGTTGAGCAATTTTCTCGAGGTCAGAGAGCTGGGACCCAGGCCTTTCCAGAAAGATCCTACCTCTCCCACAATTTTTTTAAAAACTAAAAATCCAGACATAAAACTGCATTTAGCTACCAAGCCCTTCTTTTTTCCCCTTTTGCTTTAGGTGCCAGGAAGTTCAGAATAAAATTTAAGGCAGATTTGGAGTACAGTAATCCCTGCAACTAATCTGCTATTTCTATTTCTGCAGTTTTACTGTTTTCTTGCAAACCCCTTTTGGACACAGATGGGGTACGAGTTATAAACAACATTTTTAAAGGTATCAATCTGTTTGCACAAGTGGACCCTCAACATCCACTGACCTCTCCAATGCTCAGCTTGCTAGAAATGCCCTCTGGATGATTTCTATTTCTGCAGTTTTACTGTTTTCTTGCAAACCCCTTTTGGACACAGATGGGGTACGAGTTATAAACAACGTTTTTAAAGGTATCAATCTGTTTGCACAGGTGGACCCTCAACATCCACTGACCTCTCCAATGCTCAGCTTGCTAGAAATGCCCTCTGGATGTGTCCACAGCTGCCACCCCTCCTCTCTCTAGTCACCTCGAGAGTCTGCTTCTGCAGGAGCCCCCACTCTACCGTGCATCTCCATCCTTGCTCAGCCTGGCCCAGCCCGGCCGGGCAGTGAATGCTTGAGGGAAGCGTCTGGTCCAGAAGCAGAACACGAGCAACCTGGAGGCAGCCTGGACTCGAATTCCAGCTCCACCTTTTTCTTAATGTGTGACTCTGGATATGCCTTCCCCAGAACTCTAGCCCCACAGGGCCGGGAGCCTCCTGGAGCCACCTCTGCAGAGCACAGAGGGTCCAAGGGACACTAGCCCATGGTTCTACTGCTGGCACCACCTATGCTCACATCCCCCTGCAGGAAGCTGAGGCATGGCCAAGAGAAGCGCCTCCAATCCCTCCGAGGCAAATCCAGTGCGTCCTCGCCACTCCCAAAGCAGGTTGCATGTGGACCTCTATCCCAGCTCACAGGCCATTCTGTGTGGAGCCTGGCAAGCTGCAGACATGCCTGTGAACTGGGCAGCCACACAGGACCCTGAACTCCACGGCGACCTCTGCAGCCTGAGCCTCCTCACCTGTGTGGGGGCAGGGCACAGCAAAGGACATGGAAACACTTCATAGCCTGAGACCCCTGTCCCAGTGGGAAGGATGGTGAGGATGGGTCATGTGGTCCTTGTACTAAGCCGTGACAGCCAGCATCTGAGGGCTGCCCCAGGACGGGAAGCAGAGGCCGAGCAGATCCCTGACTATGCTCCCACCCTCTGGGAGAAGCAGGAATCCCCCCCACACACACACTGCCTCTTCACACCCCTCCTCGCATGTTTGCTATTTTGTTATTGTTGTTAATTCCTCACCAGGTGGAACCCGGCACTGTGGGCTTAATTAAGCTCAGCCAGCTGTTGCCATACACGGGGATGTGACGCATGGCAGAGTCAGCCACGAGCAGTGCAGGCGGGAGGAGGGTGAGGGGGAGCCCTAGGCCCAGAACAGAATGCAGTCTGAATTTGGAGGACAGGAAGCTGGGGCTGCCAGAGGGGGCTTCTCTGGGCAGGTCCAAGGATGTGGGTGGGACTAGGCCCCAGCTGCCACCTCCCCTACATTCCTTTGATGCAGACATCTTAGCTCCTGAGAACTGAGACCCCAAAAGACAAAGAAAGACTTTGCAGAGGCAGCTCCTGCTGCAGAGGGGACAGGAGCAGGCAACCACTAGGGATGCACTGACTAGACCCTGCACCACAGGGGGCACAGGGTCGGAGATGTGTAAGAGTGTGTGTGCATGTGTGCACGAGCGTGTGCACAGGCACGAGTGTACATATGTGTACGGCATGTGTGCACAAGTGTGCACATGCCCGTGTGTGTGTATTGTGTGTGCACATGTGTGTGACCTGTGTATATGTAAGCATGTGAGAGTGCGTGTGTGTATAACTGCATGTGTTTATGTGCATGTATGAGTATATGCATGTATGTGTATGTGTGTGAGTGTGGGTATTGTGTGTAGGGGGTGGTGCGTGCATGTAAGAGACTGTGTCCACACACAAGTCTCTGGGCAGAGATTAGACTGAGTCAGCATTTCTCATTTGTTTCACAGAACGTGACTCGCGACTTCTGTAAGACATGAATGGACATTCTATAAAACTGAGTGAAGGTAAGTGTGCAATCCCAAAGCACTCAGTCAAATGAAGCTGAACTAGTTTGTATCCGACCTCTAAGCCCAGTTCCCTCAAGTCAAACTGTCGTTCCCCGCAAGACATAAAGAACTCCAACAAACTGGTAAGAAAAATGGGCAACAGACTTGACCAGACCCTTTACCACAGAGGATGTTCAAGACACTAGCAAACATGTGACAAGGTGCTCAACCCTTGTTGAGACACCGCCACACGCCCAGCAAACATCTGCCACCGAGAAAACTGACCACACCATGGCTGGCGAGGACATGGAGCAGCTGGAGCACTCGTCCGCTGGCAGTGGGAGTTAAACTGCTTTCTGCCGCCTCAGAGGGCTGTTTGGCTCATGCCGAACATGAGCGCACCCTATGGATGGTCTCCACTCTCTCCAGTCCCCACCTAGAACATCAGCTCTTTCCGCCTTCTCTGCCCTTGCCTGGGTTGCAGGCTTCACTCCAACAAAAGTTCACCAAACGGTGGGTGGGGGGCAGGGGTGAAGTAGGGTCTCCTTGTTCCTAAACTTGCTCTTAGTTCAGCTTATTGTAACACAGCACCAGAAAATGAATTCAGGCTCAAATCTGAGACCAGGGATGAGGTGGAAGAATAAACGTAAGAACGCCCTCCTTCTGATGTACTCCAGTTTTCTAAGCACTTTCACCAACCAAACCTCGCGTGTTCCTCGCCAGACCTTTGTGAGATAAGCAGGGTTTTAACAATCGGCCCAAGTCACTCTGTTAATGGCAGGTAAGACTAAATGAAGCCTGTTGGAGGAGATCAAGGGTGAAGGCCGCTGCCTCAGGATGCTTTTGGCTGCAAGTAAGGACCTTAAACAGTAAGGAAACAGTTCCAAAATGGAAGTCTGGGGATGGCAGGACCCAGCATGGGCTGGTGCAACAGCCACCGAATGTCACAAAAATTCAGTGCTCTTTACATCTTCAGGCTGTCGGGGGACAGTTTCCCGTGGGCCTGCCACATTTCTGCATGCCTTGCAAGCTGAAGTACCAACAGTTTTTGTTCCAGATTTTCTTTTCACGTACTTTGTTTAGCAAATATCCCTGGTAGAGACAGTGCCCCTCCAAAGCAGAGGGCGAACTTGTCTGCTGTTTGGTGTAACACGGATCCCTTCCTCCCCCGGGGTGAAGGACAAGCGGGCCTGCTTGTCCCCATCATGAAAGACCGGAGCTCCAAGCTCAGCATCCCTGGCTGTGATGACAACACCTGCACCAGCATCCTCCTGGACCATGCCCACAGCGGGGACAAGGGAAGCCACCATCGGACGCGAGCTTCCGGTGGGCCTCGGGTGAGAAGGTCCTACGTCTCTGGCCCAGGAGGCAGCCGAGTCTTTGGGCGTCTCCTCGGACGGAGAGGCTTCTGCAGAGGCCTCCTTGTCCCATGCCAGGCAACAGGGCGGACCGCACGGGACTGGGCCGCTACGGTGGCAGCCTGCGTTCCAGCGCCCAGACTGCGGGACCCCGTCCACCCCGCCTCGTCTTTCCCACCGTGCGGGGACCCCCACGCTATTGGTCCTCGGCCCACTTCCGGTCAGTGCGAACTCCTCCCCTACTCCCTCCCCCCTTCCGCTGTGGACTCCCCCGTCCACCCCGCCTCGTCTTTCCCACCGTGCGGGGACCCCCACGCTATTGGTCCACGGCCCACTTCCGGTCAGTGCGAACTCCTCCCCTACTCCCTCCCCCCTTCCGCTGTGGACTCCTCAGATGACTGACACACGCTGGGCCCAATGAGTCATCAGGCCCCGTGCCTTCCTCCTCTCCTCTCTCGCCGAGGAAGTGCGCCTGCGCAGGAGGTTGTGCTGCACGTGGAGCGGGTCGCGCGGGCTCCCGCGGGCTTCGTGGGGACCCTCCCGGCCGGGCGTGGAGGGCAGGGGTGGGTGGCCGCCAGCACTGTTCTCCCAACAAGCTCGCCTTGGGTAGTGAGACACCCAGTTTTGGAAATGACCTACGCTGAGTCTCTGCCGGGCAGGAAGGGCCTGGGCGCGGAGGTCAGAGCCCACAGCACGAGCGGGCGGCGTGGTACAGGGAACCTCTGCGCGGGCAGACCCGGCCTACCCCGCCGCTCCCAGGCCTCACCCTGCCTCCCAGCCTGGCGTCTCCGGGATGGGTCGGGAAGCCTCTTGTTCAGCGCCTGGCCTGGGGGTTCCAGCTCTCCAGGCCCTTCAGTCCTCTGGCCCTGCTTCCTCACCGCACTGCTGCTGCATCAGCCCTCACGACCTAGGCTCTTAACAGACTCCTGTTTCCTCCTTTGTCAACACAATCGGTTTTTAACAGGCCAGCCAGAGTGATGATCTGCCCACAGACGTTGTCCCTCCTCTGCTTAAAACCCTGCCAGGGCTCCCACCTGCTGTGATCGGAATGTGTCCCCTGAATCCATGTGTTTGAAATTAATCCCCAATGCAATGGTATTGAGGGCTGGGACATGGAAGAGGTGGTTAGGTCATAAGGACTCTGCTCCCAGGAGTGGATTAATGCCATCACTGTGGGAGTGGGTTTGTTGTCAACAAGAGTGTGGCCCTCCCTTGCTTTGTCTCTGGCCCTCAGTCATGGGAGGACACAGCAAGAAGGCCCTCACAGATGCAGCCCTTGATCTTGGACTTTCTGGTCTCCAGAATAGTGAGCCAAATAAGTTTCTGTCCATTATAAATTGCCCAGTCTCAGGTATTCTGTTATAGCAACAGAAAACGGACTAAAACACCATCTCACTAGAGTAAAAGTCAAAGTCCTCAGACTGGCCCACAGGGCGCAGCCACGCATGCAGCCCTCTGACCTCGGCTCCTGCCTCTCATGCTCGCTGCCTGGCCTGCGCGTGCTGTTTCCTGCCTGGAGCACTTGCCCCAGAGCTGTACTTGGTCCCTTCTCCTCCTCCTGTACTCTGAGGCCCACCATGACCACCCATGACCACACAGTCGCAGCCTCCCTATTCCCCTCCTGTGCTTTCCCTTCAGTGAGAGACTCTCCCGATGCAGCAGTGGCTTTGGAGGACGAAGGGGTCAGAGCCGTGGAGGTGAGGGGCACAGACAGCTCATGAGGGATTTGGGAGGAGGGGGCACTCAGAGCCCAAGAGAACCAGAGAAAATGTTAGCCTCCACACACTCAGGAGATTTGACAGGGACAGGGCCACCCCCAGCTGTTGTCTGGACTACACAGGCAGCTGTAATCCAGTGTCATCCCTGCTGTGATGAGCAGCCCAAGGGGAATCAAGGAAGGCTTCCTGGAGGAAATGCTGTCTAAGCTGATTTCAGGGCAGAGCAGGAGAATGCTGGATGAAGAGTGCTCCAGGCATGGGAGTGGCATATTCAGAGGGCATGGGAGAGAGTGCATGCCTGGCACAGTCGGGAGCAGCAGGAGCTCTGCACCTGGACAGAGGCCAGTGTGCCACCTGGGAGATGAGGCTGGAGAGCCCGCATGCGAGGCCCCTGGGCTTGTTCCATGACGCGCAGCAGCCACTCCCCTGGAATACATGACCAGAACTGCATTTTAGAAAGACCGTCTGCCCCCGTTGGAGTCTGAAGTGGGGTCAGCAGACCGAACGTGGAGACAAGCAGGGTTCAGTCCTGCCTGAGCGGTCACCTTTCCAATGACCTGTATGAGGCAGGGTTCTCCCAGGTCTGGCCCTTGTGGACTGTGACTCTTCTTTAAGCCGTGCTCAGGGCTGTGGGGCACCCCTCAGCAAGCTTCAGGAGGACGGTGGCTCACCTGTCCCGTGATTACTGTCACAAGACAGCTGCAATGTGACTAGGTGGAGTACACAGCCAGTTGCCCCCAGGATGGGCCCTGTGCTCGATGGAGCAACTGAACCTAGCTGGCTCAGGGGCCCTCCTTCCCTGGGGGCTTCAGGCCCAGAGAGTCAGAGCTCTTGTCTGCATGTGTTTGTCTGCATGTGGAGTGTGTCTGTTGTCCAGAACCATGTTGGAACACGGGAGCACTCCACGAACATTCACGCCACCATAGATGTGATCATGTTTGTGCTCTGCTTCCTTGCAGAGTCTACAAGCCTACCAAAGGAGGAAGAAGGGGTCTGAGGAGACCACACACCCTCCAAGCCCGTTGGTGACCGAGATGTGCCCTCTCTGCACAGTAACCTGACACTGCTCCGCCTGGAGACTTGAGGTGTGGCCCCGACTCCATTGGCTCCCAGGGATGGGAGCTGCCTCCAGACGGGTGGGCATGGGCCTGGGCAGCCCTCTGACACCTGCAGGGGATACGGCAGAGGTGTTCACAAGGCCACCTTCCCCTCCGAGTGTGCCCTCCGGCTGGACACACAGGTAGTGAGCGCCAGAAACCTGCTGAATACGACACCTCAGTGGTCCTGGGGCAGGTTACCACCATCCCGTGCTCTCGGCTCCGGGAGCTCCCCTCTTCCATCAGGTCCTGTGCCTCCAGCCTTCTCCCCTCCAACCTCAGAGGCCAGAGCCTGGGCCGCCTCCAGGCAACCGAGCGGCCCCTCTTTTGGCACCAGTGCTCCACCTGTGGCACTTACCCACGCTCACCTTTTATTCACATTCAGCTTCCAAATAAAGTCAGCAGCCAAGCTCTCTCCTGACTAGCACAGGTAGAAAGACACCCTCTCCACCATGTGCAGTACTTGGTGCCTTGTTTTCCCAATCTGCTTATATTTAAGAGACAATGTCTAATGAAATCTGGAATTCATATACCCTGTGACCCGCCCACTCCACTTGTAGGACCTCGTGCCTCAGCTGTGCTCATCCCAGGCACGTCCCACTGTGGGCCGAGGACAACCCAGATGCTCATCAATAGACGAACAGTCACAATCCCAATGTGGATTAAATAACAGTAGCATGCTCTCGTGTTCAAAATGTCACACTGAGGCAGAACTAGATATCTTAAAAACAGCAATTTGCAGAACTGTGTCCCATCATGGGGCTCTCAGCACTGGCTGAACACTAAAATTACCTGTGAAGTCAAAAGAAACAAACACGGGCCGGCCCGTGGCTCACTTGGGAGAGTGCGGTGCTGATAACACCAAGGCCACGGGTTCGGATCCTATATAGGGATGTCCGGTTAGCTCACTGGCTGAGCATGGTGCTGACAACACCAAGGCAAGGGTTGAGATCCCCTTACCGGTCATCTTTAAAAAAAAAAAAAAAAAAAAACCCAAAAAACCAAACACACTCATCTCTGGGTGGACCAGGCTTCTGTATTTTTAAAAATCTCCCTCTGTGATGCCTTAGCCTGGCCTGCAGTAACAAATTCCCGGAGGTGGCACAGCGCACGCACAGGAATTGATTCCTCATGGTCCAGGAGGCTGGAAGTCTGAGATCAGGGTGACGGCATGGCTGGGTTCTGGGGGCCACTCCAGGTGGCAGAGGTGTGCTTGCGTCCTCCACAGGTCCCCCTCAGGCCTCTCATCTAAAAGCGCTAATGCAATCATGAGGGTGCTGGCCCCAGGACCTAATTGCCTCCCGAAGGCCACACCTCTTACACCATCACTTTGGGGGCAGGGATTTCAATGTATGAATTTGGGGGGACACAAACAACCTATACAGGGACTTTTATGCACAGTGCGGATGGGGATCCACTGCTCTGGGGCATGTGCCATTTGGGCATGGATGGGATAAGACATCCAGACACAGACACTCGCACACATGAGCGTCATGTGATCACATGCTTGTGAGCACACGCTTCCTTGTGCAGGGTGCATCTCTTGGGCCCTGGTGGTCGCAGGTGGAGGGGACTCACTTTTCTTGCTTGTTGCCATACATGCTGGTTATTTGGCTTCTTATTGTTTTGTTGTTACAGGCAATTATTCCCTATTTAACTATTAAAAATTATTTTAACAAAAAAAGATGTCCTCTCTAGGGATCTCTGTGCCCTACCTCCAAGAATGGGGTTTCTGGTCAGCGATGAGCTGGGTGTTATTTGGGGCAGACAGCCCTCCTCAGCCCCCTGCGTGGTATCCCACCCACCCAGGACTAGGCATTCATCACACAGAACATGAGATGCTGCTCCCAGGACAGGGTGCAAGTGACCTCAGCAGAGCAGTCCCGCCTCATCAACCAGCCCTTCTGGTGGCCTTGAGCATTTCCGTCCAAGAGACACGGCTGCGCCTGCGCTGGCCTGGGACCAGCCACTGCCTCCTCTGGATCTCAGCCCAGGGATTCAGCCCCTGCCTGGCAAACAGCTGTGACCCAGCCTGCTGGTGGTGCTTCTAGGGAGGGATGCGGCTGGGAGCCCAGGGCAGGAAGCAGTGAGTCCCCAGAAGCCATCCCAGGAGGCTCATTCCTATGCAGGGCCAGCAGCACAGGAGTGCACCCCTCCCCAACCCCTCCTCTAAAGAGAGGGGGCTGGACTTGACGGGGGTCTCCAAGTGTGAGCTGAGCCACCTGCCACAAGCATCACCAGGCTTCATGTAAATTCGCATTCCCAAGATCCGCCAAGCCAGACTGGGCTGGGGCCAGGGAATTTGCATTTAACAAGTCCCCAGGTGACTGGTGTACACCCACAGCTGACGGTCACAAAGCCAGAGAGTCTCAAGGCCGCCCTTCGCAGATGCGTATCAGGCATGTTCTTGGAGTCTGGCTTGATGAGGGAGAGCAGGACTCACCAGGCATCCCGAAGGGGAGCAGGGGCAGGCAGGAGAGGGCAGCCAAGGTGCAGCGGGGATGACCAACATCACCCAGTTCTCCAGCTGCAGCGCAGTTCCCAGGAGAGTCCGGCCTGGCGGCCCAGGGCTCACAGGATGGCTGGGCACCCCCACCGATGTTGGGGAGGCTGCCTGGTCACCATTGTTCCACTTAAAAGTGCAACTGCTGGGAAGGCTGCCAAGGCAGGACGAGGAGGCCTGAGCTTTCCCTGGAAAACAGCGTCTGGGAATCCCCAGAATCCCCCCAAACTGGGTTCGTTTTTAATTGGATTTAATTATTTTCCATTTAATTGCATTTTTTAAAGCTCTCCCCAGTGGTTTTCTTGATCTAAGGTCTCTCCTTTCCTCTCCCCTCTTCAAGCAGAAAGCTTGGCCTCGGCAGTGATGTGGGATGGAGCTGTGGTCCTGCCACCTCCCTTGGGACCTGAGGAGTGTGGGAATGTGGGAAGACAGAGGCTGGATGGAGCCGGGGGCTGCCTGTGTCCCTCCCTGGGCCAAGTGGGAAGACGCCAGCATTCCCCGGAGGGGCCCTGAGTCCACTGGCCACTTCCCCAGCATCTTGTCTCTCCATCCTCACCCCGTCCCCCATCAGCTCCTCACTGTCCTCCTTCCCACACTCCTGCCAAATCCAGATCTGATCATGTCCACTCAGAAGCCTTCCTGACTTTCCTGACTGCAGCCTGGCAGAAGAGGAGCCTCAGTCTGGCTTCCTTTTCCTTCTGGAATTCACCTCCATCCGCTGCTCCAGCCACACGGCACCCTGGAGGTCCCCGAGCCGGTCCTTGCTCTTTTACACCTGCGCACCTTCACAGGCCCGTCCCCTCTCCTAACGACTCCGCAGTCATTCAACAGACGGGCAGCACACTTAGCAGTCATGTGCCCTGCAGCAGGGGCACCTGCAGTCCATGGCATGTGGCCACGAAGGGTTTGCTGGAATTCCCATGAAGAGGTGGAGTCTCCCCCAAGCCTGGGCAGGCTTCTGACTTGCTTTGACCAGTGGAATGTGGCAGAAGTGATGTCATGCCCACACCCTGGGAGGCTGTGTGCCCCCACTGTGGAAGGGGCCGGGCTGGCCATGGGAAGGAGACCCAAGGCACCCCACCTGCTGGCCATGAGAGGGGACATCTCAGACTGTCAGCCCTGAGACCCTGACAGGCAGAAATGGCCCACCTGCAGGTCATAAGAACAATTGATCACTGTTGTTTGAAGCCACTAAGGTTTGGGTCCTTTGTTATGCAGCAGGAGTGGACTGACACACCACACGGCCAATAGCCCGCAGCTGTTTGGACTCAGTTGATCTCCCCTCCCCTGGCAGCATCAGCCTCGACTTTCTCCTGGTCCCTGCGGAACTTCACACAGGCCTCAGATGGGATCGGAAGCCTCATCCTCCTTCAGTGGCTCCCGAGTCCTGCCATGTGGAATCCAAGCTTCTGGTTCACCAGCCTCCAAGGCCAGACGGATGGGCCATGCCTCTGCCCAGCCCTCCTGTGTGCCCCAGCCCTGGCACGCAGGACCGAGCAGCTTCTCGTCCAACCCCACTGCACGCAGCTCACCACCCGCCCCTGCTTGTGCAGGTCC